ATGCTCGTTCCACCGCCATAGATTTTTTTTTTTCCTACTATCTTGATTTTGATATTTATCAGGTAACATATACGTAATATACGTATGTATTTATGTATGTATTTATGTATGTATTTATGTATGTATGTATATGTTTTACGTTCTAAAAATATCATTGCATTATTAAATTATGTCGATTATATCGATCGAATCTTTGTGATATTTGTATATCTATTTTTTTTCTTTTTCTTTTTTTTTTTCTTTTTTTCTTTTGTGCAAAATATAATTACAATGATCGATTTGATAATCAGAAAAGAATTTCGTTGATTGCAATATCGATGCAATTTCATGAATTGCAATATCGACGATTCTAGCTTATTTTTTATATTTACGAAATTTCTCTTTCACATTATCAATGAAGGATATTTAATACATTCGTAAATTGTTTTTGAATCTAATCGACGTAATATCTTTTTTTGTTTTCTTTTTTTTTCTATATCACATTTACCTCGTCGAGAAATAAAGCTATCGTTATTATTATTACCTTTGAGAGTTTTATTGATCGTTGATAAAAGAATGTTACGTTAAGAAATGCAATTTTTATGTGACGTTTAACGACCACCACTATCTCGATGCAATAATTTTATGAATTGCAATGTTGACGGATATTTGAAATTTTCTTGATATTTATTTTTTACTTCACGTTATAAAAAGATATCGACAATTAAATTATTTATATTATTTCAATCTAGTCAATGATAAAAAAATATATATATATAAATATTATATTATCTATTTTTGTAAATAGGATAATAATTATTACTTTCAAAGAATTTCATTGATCGTTGATAAAAAAAAAAAGGAAAAAAAAGTATGCAACAATAAGAAATACAATTTTGACACAACCATAACTATTGTAATCTTAATGCAATTATTAAGAATAATTCACGACTTGATTGAACGTCGATGGAATATTAAGAAAAGCAATATTGATTATACTTCAATCTAATAAATCGTCGATCTAATACGTCAATCTAATAATAATAAAAAAAAAAAAAAAAAAAAAAAAAAAATAATAATTATTAAACCCCGACGAATATTTTTAACGAAATAGATTTCTTTTAAATCTAAGATCTAGATTATTGGATTTTTTTTCTTTTTTTAGGGAAAAAAAGAGAAGGAAGAATAAAGGTAATAAAAGTAAAAATAAAATAAAATAAATAAATAAATGAAATGAAATGAAATGAAAACGAAAGTAAAAGAAGATTCGCCGCGTATTTGGGAAGACATAAAAAAAAAAAAAAAAAAAAAAAAAACAAAAAGAAAAAAAAGGAAAAAGAGGAGAAGAAAAAAAAACCGAATTTTTCCTTAATAGACGGTATAATGTAAGAATGGCGATCTAAATAGTCCAAAGTAAAACTCGATTCTTGAAAACACGAACCGTACAAGTCGAGATGATTTATTGACATTTTAGTCCTTTTCTGTATATACTTTGCTCGCATATATTTTACAGGATTTACGATACCCTTTCGAATTTACGAGCGAACGCCGTTGCGTGATGCTTTTCCGGTGAAATAAGAAGAGAAATAGAAAGAGAGAGAAACAGAGAGAAACAGAGAGAGAGAGAGAGAGAGAGAGAGAGAGAGAGAGAGAGAGAGAGAGAGAGAGAGAGAGAGAAAGTTGAACCAATAAAGCACAATAACGAGAAAGCACGTAACGACGTATCCTTGCCGTCTCTTCTCTCTCTCTCTCTCTCTCTCTCTCTCTCTGTCTCTCTCTCTGTCTCTCTCTCTCTCTGTCTCTCTTTCTCTATGGATACGATCGTAGTACTCCGAATGACCCACCATTGCCATCGACTACGAGTGACCATTAGTTTAATTAATGCGCATCCATTTGGAATGGCACGCGAGCCGCTCGATTTCATGTCTTTTATTTCGCGCCATTTGAATTTTGTTTTGCTTTCTTCGTTTCTTTTTTTCTTCTTCTTCTTTTTCTTTTCTTTCGATAATTTTTTTATATTTTTCTCTTCTTCTTCTTCTTTTTTTTTTTTTCCTTTCCTTTTTTTTTTTTTTGTTCTGACAAGAAAGGGTTATACGCTCGTACTTGCGACACGCGTTCTATTAGATCCATTGGGCACACCGAGCGCAGTGTTAACTACAAGCACTGAACATTATTCTGTCTTTTTTCTTTTTTTTTCTTTTCTTTTTGGTTTTCCTTTTTCTTTTCTCTCTCTTTTTTTTTCCTTCCTTTTTCTCGTCGTCGTTGATATTTCCTTCATCGTTGTTGTTGTTGTTGTTGTTGTTGTTGTTGTTGTTTTCTCTTTTTTTTTCCTTTTCCTTTTTTTTTCTCCTTCCCTTTTTCTCGTCGTCGTCGTCGTCGTCGTCGTCTTTAATATTTCCTTCATTGTTGTTGTTGTTGTTTTTTTCTCTCTTTTTTTCTTTTTTTTTTTTTTTTCTTTTACTTCTTTCTTTATCTTTTCGTTTTCGATTTCTCTTTTGTACTTTTTGATACGAGGGTACATTGGGACGCGCGAGATGGGGGGGAGGGAAGAAAAAAAAAGAAAAAATAGGCTGGGGGGTGGGAATAGAGTGGGACATAGGGTGGTTTAATATCAACATTAACTCGAACCAACGATCTTCTTTTGTTTTGGCTTTTAGCTTTGCATTGTTGTCTCTTCTCTTTTTATTTTCCTTTCGGTAACGAGTGTTTTGGACTAACGTAAATAAGACAAAATTGCGGGCACCTGTTTGTGAATGGTAAAGAGGTAGACAGATAGAGAGAGAAAGATAGATAAATAGAAATAGAGATAGAGATAGAGATAGAGATAGATAGATAGGCAGAGAGAGAGAGAGTGAGAGAAAAAAATGAATGAATGAAGAAATTGACGAGTTACGGTTTTAATGGAAGGGTAGTTGAAAAAAAAAACAAATAAAAAATTTATTTGACGACTTCATTCATTATTCGTTATTATTATTATTATTATTATTATTATTATTATTATTATTTATATTCTTTATTAATTGAGATTTAATATTACATTTCGAGTTAGAATATTTGTTCAGAGTTTCAGCTTATAATCAAGTTTAATTAATATTAAATTTGATTAATTGTAATTAATTGTTATATAGTATGTCATGATTTAAAATTTGTTACTTTAAATATTCGAATATTTATTTTAAATTTCGTAGAATTTTAGAGCTCTATCGTTATTATTTCATATTTATAATATTTTACATTAGCTTTTTTACATTAGCTTTATAATATTTTACATCACTTTTTATTTTTACTATAATAAAAATAATAAAGTTAATTGTGTCAATGATGAAGAGAAAAAATTATCAAAAATTTTATGGACATTGAAAAAATAAAGAAAAAAAAAGAAAAAAAAGAAAAAAGAAAAAAAAAAGAGGTAAGAAAAAAAAATAATAATTAATAACGAATAAATGTTGAAACGAAACGTTAATAAAAATCCGTGAAATATATTTGAACGTTCGTAATATTATTATCTTTCAATTAATTAAACAATTAATTAATTGAAAAGATAGAACGATAAATGTAAAGTAATAAATATTATCAATGTTTTTCTTTTTTCTTTTTTTTTTTTTTTTTTTTTTTCTTTTCATATCATTATTAACATTTAATTCATATTAGATATTTCATCTTTGATGATTCTCATTTTTAGATCATGATTATATTATGCGGAACAGGACTGAATTATGTGTATTATCTTGAACAGTTTGTCCTTTGCATAGGGTAAGTTTGATTTTAGCGGTCGCGGATGTTATACGGGCGAATAGCTAATAACGAACGTGCTTGGACTACTAATCGACTTGGCGAGAAGATTTTCTAACACTGGCGTATGGGTTAAACGAAAGGAATAAAGGAGAGAGAGAGAGAGAGAGAGAGAGAGAGAAAGAAAGAGGGAGAGGGGAGCAAAGAGAGAGAAAGAGAGAGGGAGAGAGAAGAGGAGAGGGTGGTTAGACGGTAGATACTTCCGATGGATGCTGTTAAGGAGTATCTAAAAGCAATCGAGTATCTGCTAAGCTAGTTGAATCTACCCTTCTACAAACATTCAGAAGATAAGGGTCAGTTTGTGTTATCGAATAGAACGCATGTATTCTGATTAGAAATTTTTCCATTAGGATCGTTATATCTAATATATTCCTATGTTCTGTGTTTATTGATATGAAAAATTTTTTAAATCAACGATTAAACATTAATTTTTATTTTCTTTTTTCCTTTTTTTTTTTTTTTTTTTTTTTTGAAATAATTACATTATTTATTAAATTAATTAATAATACGTAGGTCATAGTTATCGATTAGAAAATTACTTAATTAAACGGACATCACGTTGAAACATTCGTTCGAATTAATTTTAAATTGATTTATTAACGAATTTATCGATAATCGTTATAAAATATCTCACGTATACGATTCTATATCGATAATTTATAGAAAATTTTCCCATTGGAGATGTATTGGATTATGTCGATTATTGATTTTAAATACGTTCAAATAAATAATTAGAATTATTGTTAGAACGTATTATTAATTAAATCTCTATGGTTATGCAAAATTAACGTTAGAGAAAATAACGTATTCGTTCAATTGTGGAAAATACAATCTGACGTTGATTTAGAAATAATTGATTTAGAAACGTTTAGTTTTCTATATACGCTTTCAATTAATTTAATAATTACGATAAATGATTAAAACTGATTATGAATTTATTGACAATTTTACATCGAATTGTAGAATTTTATAGAATGATTGAAATGATCAAATTCACTGATCAATCTTTTATATTTCTATCCTTTTTTCTTTTCTTTTGTTTCTTTCTTTTTCTTTTTTTTTTTTGTCTAAAGATACAACGTTTGCATTGTTAATAATTACTTAACAATTCGTTTATAAACAATTTTTATGAATAAATTCTTACTACCGATTGAATTCATCCTATCTTGCGAAAAAAAAAAAAAAAAACCAAAAAGAAAAGAAAGAAAAAAAATCAATTCAGATTGCGACTGACACTTATGAAATAACGCAAATTAATCGATAATTAATAAACAAAATTATTTTTCTATTTAACGATTAATTTTAAACATCATTAAAAACCAGATTTATTATTTGGTCATATTTAATAATTAATTAACGATTTGTTATAAACAATGATCATCGTTATCGTCGTCGTCGTCGTCATCATTATCATGATCATGATTACAGATATATTTTTAATTATACTTATTTAAAACAAAAAAGATCCATTTGGTATTCTTCGTGACAACTAAAAGATGATATATAACTATTTTGATCCCTCAAAATGATCATCTATCATGATCTCATGATCATGATCATAATCATTATCATTATAATGATAGTCGAGATTTAACGTAAGATCGATCCAGAAATTCGTCATACGACAGCAAACATCGGGGAACGATGGTTTGTTGGATATTCCAAGAGAAGGAGGAAGTGTAAGTACTGTGTTAGTCTTAGGGGTTATGTCGCAGCTAGCAGAGCTAACTAATAGCCTCTTAGCCTTGGCTTAGGGGATCATGCTCGAGGCAGCCGCACCCTCCTCCTTTGCTTGGTGCTGTTGCTACTGGTGGTGATGGTGATGGTGATGGTGATGCTGGTACTGGTACTGGTTACTGGTTACTGGTGCTGGTGCTGGTGCTGCTCTCAGACTCTCAAGCCAAGCTCCCTAACCCGCCATTGCAATTCCTTAAGCCTTGCGAGGTCTGCAAACAGCCGATCTCCTTCTGTTCCTCGAAGTAAAGGATTAACCTCGACTTCTTTTTTTCTGTAAACACATGTACACACACATCCACACACACACACACACACACATATACATATATATATATATATGTATATATTCGATTTTATTATTTTTATATTTGCATATATATGTATTCGATTTTAGTATTTTCATATACTTTCTCTCTCTTCTTTTATCTTGTCTCTCTTTTTTTTTTCTTTTTTTCTTTTTTTTTTTTTTTTTTTTTTTTATTATTTTTTTCTTCTATTATTTTAAATAAGATCGTTTCACAACAAATGGAAAGTAGTTACTTCCCGAGTGTGTATATATGAAATGGATTCAACGAAAGGAGAAAGAGAAAAAGATAAAACAAAAAAAAAGAAAAAAAAAAAAAAAGAAAGAAATACACCCTCCTCCTCAATATACATACATCTTTCTTCACTCCTTCCCTCCTCCTCCTCTTACCTCCTTTCGTGTTTCCTTTCGTTCCTCTCAATCGGTTTTCTTCTCTACCAATGCTTACTTGTAAGTCTACATACATAGAATAGTAGTAATCTTTGTGTTACATTCCTGAGAAAGCTAAAAGCAAGAGAAAGTAAGAGAGGAGGGAGGGAAAAAGAAAGAGAGAGAGAGAGAGAGAGAGATCAAGAACAAAGAGGAGAACGCCCCTCTCAGTGAACATTCATGGTGTACCTGTGGTACATGGGAGTTGTAGGGGGTGGGCGGGGGAGGAGTATGAGGATGGGGGTTGAGGGATAAGGGTAAAAAAGAAGGAGAAATAGAAGGAAGGGATGAGGAGAAGTAAAGAGGGCCTTTAAGTATAGAAAATTTGTATGTATCGTCGATCGATATATATATGTATACATATATATATATATATAACACGAAGAAAGGAACATTGACTCCGTACCATTGGGGAATAAACAGGTGATCTACCCTTTTGAAAGCTTAAATAAGAGAATAGACAACAAGAGCTTACATTTCACTTCCTATTCGGATATCGAACTCTTTTTTTCTTTCATTATGTAAATCCTCATCGAGAACCTGTAAATACTTATACAAGCATACATACAAATACATACGTATATATATATATATATATATATATATATATATATTTATATATATACATATAGATAGCATGCATATGAACGTATACACACAGACATATATACGGTCATACACAATAATAGGTATGAAAAAGTCGTGATTCTTTTTTTCTTTTTTTTTTTCTCCTTTTTTTTTCTTTTCGAGTGTTGGTAGTGGGAGAAGGGTGGATGGAAGGGGATAGAAGTGAAGTGGGAGAAAGAGATGGGTGTTGTCGTAGTCGTTGTCGTCGTCGTTGTTGTTGTTCTTGTTGTTGTTGTTGTTGTTAGAAAGAGAGGAGAACGAAGAAGAAAGAGAAGATAACGAAGAAAAAAAAACAGAGACAGAGAGAAAGAGAGAGAGAGAGAGAGAGAGAGGTAGAGGAGGAAAAAAAAGGAAAAAAAAATTTGCGAAAAGCGTATCCCGATTGGGCGTGCCTGAAAGTTAATTTATTTAGTAGCCTAGAAGGAGAGACAAGTTCCTCTCTGTGGCGGGAGAACGGTTGGTGCCATTGTATCGGCAGGTTTTCACCACTTTGAAATATCACTCCCCCCCACCCTCCCGCCCCTCCTAACCCCACTCAACCCACCCTTGTGCCCGGGCCCTGTTCTACCCTCTACTCTTTACCGTCACACCCCTTCATGGCCCGTCCCACTCACCCTCTTCTCAAGCCTTCTATCCTCTACCATTATACATATACATACTGCCACTATCACCATTACTACCAGCTACTAATACCACTATTCCTGTTGTTGTATTGTTACTAATACTAATACTATTGCTACTACTATCGCTACTACTATAACCCTTCTCATCTCCCCCTCACCTCTTTGCCACTCAGCATTAGACTCTAGTCCCGTGGGTAGGAATTAATTTCACGGGGGAAACAACCGAACCGTGCATGTATGTATGTATGTATGTATGTATGTATGTATGTATGTATGTATGTATATATATGTATGGGTTTGCGTACGTATATGCAAGCAACGGCAGAAGGGCGGTACGTACGTGCCTCGATTATAAATGGTCGCATTGAAACTTTTCGCTGGGCGAAATTGACGTATAAATACCTCGAAACTCTCTCTCTCTCTCTCTTTCTCTCTCTCTCTCTCTCTCTCTCTCTCTCTCTCTCTCTTTCGGCACAATTCAAATTCGTTCTCCTTTCTCGATTCATTTCGATATTTCCTTTTTTTATTTCTTCATTTAAGGGTTATTTTTTCACTCTCTATATTTTTTTTTATATATCTTTTCTTTTTTTTTTTACTCTTTCCTCTATCCCTCCTTGGATTATTTTAACATATAAATAAATAAATAAATATATATATATATATATATATATATCAGTGAAGTTAATATTGAGGATGGATGTTAATTTATTTAATTTTCGTCGTTTTTAATTTATTTATTAATCTGATATATTATTATTCGATATTTTTCATCTTTCGTATTTGGAGAAAAATCACATATATTATGTGAAATAAATAATCCCTTTATACGCATATTTTCTATTAAATTTTCGAAAAAGATTTATCGTAATATTATTATATTAATACGATATTATACCAATATATATGTATTAATTCTATCATAATATTATATATACGATAGCATAATTTATAAGAATATACAAATTAAATATTAACATACTAGGAATACGATTATATATCAAGCTAATAGGTATCATTTAGAAAATTATTAAATATCTCGATTGACATTCAATTTTTCTCGATGAAATGATATAAGAATTAAGAGAAAGAAAAAAAAAAAGAATAATAATAATAATAATAATAATAACAATAATAAAAAAATAAAAAACATAAAAGAATGCATATACGTATATACGTATTCGTGCATACGAACAATTTTTTTACATCGCGTATAGGAGCTGACACAGAAAGAGAGAGAGAGAGAGAGAGAGAGAGAGAGAGAGAGAGAGAGAGAGAGAGAGAGAGAGAGAGAGAGCAAAACAAAACAAAACAAAACAAAACAAAAAGAGAGAAAAATAGAATAATGAGAAATAAGAACTGAAAAACTTGATTGATCTTTCGCAAAAAATGAAAAAGAAGTATCACGCGAGATTTGACACGATTGAGAGTAAAATATAAAAAGTATAAAAAGGGAAGAAAAAAAGGAGGAATAAAAAAAAAAAAAAAAACAAATTGTTCGCTGACCGAAAAGCGCAAGGGCTTTTTCTTTCTTTCTTTCTTTCTTCTTCTTCTTCTTCTTCTTCTTCATTTTTTTTCTTCTTCTCTTTTTTCCTTTTTTTATTAACTCGATAATTCACACCCGTAGGATTCGCATTAACGACTTTTATCGAACCTCGTCGTACCTTTCACAGGGGCTCTCTTTTATAGCCTTTGGTCAACGACAAGGACCACATAGATGCGGGCTAACGTTACTCGTTAAGTTTCTATCCGAACTTGTTCTTCCTTCACGTAGTAACTACGTACATACATATATACAAACATACATACATACATAGGAATCATTTTATCATGGAGTTAAGCGGTTCATCAAGAGAGAATTTTTACGAGCATTTTCTCAAGTCCGATCGTTGATACTTCGGGACGTTTTACAACCGATTACATCTATTACGATCATTCTTTGTGATATAGTCAATGTAAAAGTTTTCAAGAATTAATCCACAGAGTCGAAGCAAAAGTTTTCACTCTCATAGTTTTATGATGATATCTAAAAAGAACGAGAACGAAAGAGAAAAAGAGAGAGAGAGAGAGAGAGAGAGAGAGAGAGAAAGAAAGAAAAAAAAAATTGTCACACGAAATGAAAGTCTAAAAAAGAATTGATTTTTAATTAATCATTTGGAAACTTTTGATCAACCCTATATATATATATATATATATATATGCTAGTTCATATTAGTATCAAGCTTGTTGATATTGTTATCAATTATAATAACGACGTTGATTAATTAAACATTGTCTCGATTGTCTTCTTTTTTTTTTGTCTTTTTTTTCTTTTTTCTTTTTTATAATTTTACTAATTATCTAATATATCATACATGTTCATTGATTGTATTAGATAATTCGTAGATCGTAAAATAATGAATCCACTCGAAATGTAATTATTTTAAATCGTAAATTGGAGTAATACCTTGAAGAAACGTAATACGAGGAATTAATTACGAACGTACGAATAAATAAAACGTTGAATAATTGATAATTTTACGATGGATATAACAATTGCATCTGTTACGATTATTTTTGTAATTACGTTGGACGTAAAAGCAAAAAGAAAAAGAAAAAAAAATAAGCAAAAAAAAAAAAAGAGAGAGAGAGAGAGAGAGAGAAAAAAAAAAAGAAATAGAAGAAAGTAATCTAACTCGTTTGTCAGATATTACTTTTTCCTTTCTTTTTAATTTTTTTCCCCCGTTCCTTTTTCATTTTCATTCGAAAGATAATAACGAATTTGAAGTATAGAAGGAGAGAGAAAAAAAAAAAAAGAAAAATACGGAAAAATCCATGGATTTATTAAAAAAAAATATTATCGGACAACGGTACTTCGTTAAACTATAATTAATAATAATAGTGGGACAAAAAAAAAAAAAAGAAAAATAATTATCTTCTTTCTTGCCGATTTCTCTTCGATCATCTCAATGTCATATTTATCAATTATTTGAATACTTTTGTAAAAATATTTTTCTTTTCTTCGATCCGATCCCTTCCCTCCTACCTCCCTCCCACTTTTCCATCCACCCACCCTTCCATCCTCCCACCCTCGCTCCCTCAGTCATTGGAAATTATCGTATAATACGGATTTGAAGTATTGAAAAAAGAAAGAAAGAAAGAAAGAAAGAAAGAAAGAAAAAAAAAGGAGAAAAGGAAAAAAAAAGGAGAAGAAAAAGAAGAAGAAGAAGAAGAGGAAGGTAAGATAGAAGATAAATACTACGGGACGAGTTATCGAAGTATTGTCGAATAAAAATTCTCGAGGATCGTCAAATATCGTTTTTAGAAAGATGATCGAGAACTATCTTCACAGTAACGTTCCGAAGAGTTAGGTAGCTTTGAAAGTTTAGCAATATTGGTCTATTCGGGTTCATCCTCGGATTATTGGCCCGTTGTCCTGTAAACCGCCCTCGAGCGGATTCGGTCACCAACTAGATCCGCGGTGATCCGCGCTTCGTATTCAACAACAGTCCAGCCCCAACATGATATCGCTCGTCTCTTGTCTCTCTCTCTCTCTCTCTCTCTCTCTCTCTCTGTCTCTGTCTCTATCTCTCTGTCTCTTTGTCTCTCTCTCTCTCACTCTCTCTGTCTCTCTGTCTTTCTGTCCCTGTCTGTCTATCTCTCTCTCTCTCTCTCTCTCTCTCTCTCTCTCTCTCTCTCTCTCTCTCTCTCTCTCTCTCTCTCTCTCTTGTCATACTGTGAAATACATACTCGATATCGTAACTCGTTGTTTGAACAATATTACCATAATCAGATAAGTACATCTATATATATATATATGTGTGTATGTGTGTCTATTTCAAAAATATATATATCATTATATCTTCTATGAGAGAAATATATAGATAGATAGAGAGAGAGGGAGAGAGAGGAGGCAGGAAAGAGAGAGAAAAGAGAAGCAATTCGATTTATTTTCTTGAGATATAAAAATATATATATATATATATATATATATATATATATATATATATCATAACATCATGGTTATTTTGAACAAATAAAACTAGAAAAATAAAAATGATATTACGACTTATTGTATCATCATTTATATCTACTAGTAGATATAATATTATTACTATACTAATAGTAAGTATAAGTATGACATATACTTATGGTAATACTTTAATTAAATATAATATTTACATTGTAGAATTTATTAATATATATATATATATATATATATATATATATATATATATATATATATATGCATATATGTAATTATATAGAAAATTTTATTTTATTAATTTTATTAGACTTATCTAATGACGTATTTATCACATTTTACACACGCATATTCTTCTACATATATATATATATATATATAAATATTTGTATGTATATTTGATTCTTCGCGATAAGTTGGCACACGAACATTTTCTATGTCATACCAAAACGTTACACGTAACATTAGTGAAACGTTGGCGTCCCGCCTGAAGTACCAACTCCAGTTTGAAATATTAGTACCGTAACGTGTGTTCCTTCCGTCGTCTACGTCGTTTACGTCGCGTTTCAACGACGTTTCAAAATTTTCCTCTAAATTTTCCTCCCAAATTATGTATATATATATATATATATATATATATACATACATATCGCGAATATACATCCAAACATATTCATCCACCTATACACAGACACATACATGCACATACGCACATATACACGTGTACATACAAGTTTGCGGTACGCATTGCCTTTTCCGAAAATCGTTTTAGAATATATATATATATATATATATATATATATATATATATATATATATGTATTAGATACGTGACGTCGGACACTCGTTTTACGTGTAGACATCGAAACCAAACGGCGACATCGGTTCGAATTCAACAAACTTTTATTTCGTATATCGCGTGTAAATGTCTTTTCTAGAGAAATGGGAGTTGAAACGGGGGTTGAAACGGGTGGTTGGAATGGGAGATAGGGAATGAGAGGAAAATAAAAAGAAGGAAAAAAGATGGAGAAAGAGAGAGAGAGAGAGAGAGAGAGAGAGGGAGAGAATACGGTGACGTGTAATTGCATACATACATATATACATATTATATATACACATGCATACATATATTCATACATAAATATATATATATATATATATATATATATATATATATATATATATAATGGAACGTTAAACGAGGAAATATTCTTGATCGTAGTCATAAAGGGATTTCACGAAGGGACATTACTAAAGGTCACATTTTCTCTCATCATTTCGTAATAACATCATTTTATCAAATTATTGATTATCCGACGTTCATATCTATCAACTTACTTTTTTTCGTTCTTTCATTCGAATGCTTTTTTTCTTTTCTTTCTTTCATTTTGTTTTTCTTTTCTTTTCTTTTCTTTTCTTTTCTTTTCGTTTCTTTTCTTTCGACGTCGTACGTCGAAGAAACGCGAACAAGAAATATCCTTGATTTGTCGCAAAAGTAAAGGGATTCTCTCTCACGTAGGGACCTTTAAAGAAAAGGGTAGAATTTTTAGTTTTCTTCTTTTTTACTTATCATTTCGATTGACTTCGTAGTCCCTTTGATCGAATTAATTTGTCTATTCTATCGTCATATCTAACGATTTACATTCTCTTTGACTTTTTTCTTTTACTTTTTCTTCTTCTTTCTTTTTTTTTCTTTTTTTTCTTTTTTTCTTTTTTCTCTTTTTTCCTCTCTTTTCTCTTCTCTTCTTTCGGGGGAAATAAACTCGGAATGCGAGCGGAAAACGTGAACGTCGAGACACGAAACCGAAAACGGGAAACGATTCTGAACATTCTACGTGACGTTCGGAAACGTTGACACTCTGTTAACGGATAGCTCGATAAACTTTGAGTCGGTCTTCTCTCTCATCGACATACGCTCTATCAATCTCTCTCTCTCTCTCTCTCTCTCTCTCTCTCTCTCTCTCTCTCTCTCTTTCTCTGTCTCTGTCTTCGAATACTCGATCGAGACGATAAACTGCAGTACAGTGTATACTATCTCTTAGAAATAGACTGCGTGCTATGCTTCTAGGTTTTACTAATACGAAATATCGAAAGATTTCTATTTATTATCGAAAATTATACCATAAATTAATTCTTACGACAAAAGAATTTTATCTAGTATCATTTTTGTTTCTTTCATTTCATTTCTTTTCTTCCTTCTTTTTTCTTTTTTTTTTTCGTTACAAGCTTCACATCTCGCGTTCTATAGAAGTTCTATAAGATATTATTATTTTATTATTGATAGTATAATGCCGATAATTCGTTCATTTAAATATCAATTGTAATTATATCGAAAATATTTAATTGTAATTATTTTTTCTTTTTTTTTTTTTTTCCTTCCTCTTCTCCTACACAGAATGCATAGCTTAAATACATTTATGTTTTTTTTTTTTATTTTGTTTCAAATTAATACACGATTAAATTTTCAAGACTCTTTTTTTAAAGGTATATCATTATCTATGATTAAGTGATCGATGGTAAAGATTATTTTTTATTTATTTATTCATTTTTTTATTCTTTCTTTTTTTTTCATAAAATAAAAGGAAATAATTATTATTTCGAATAATAAACGTAGAAACAGCGCCGAAACATTGCATTTTCATTAATTGTCGTATTAGACGAAGAAGAGGAAGAAGAAGAAGAAGAAAAAAAAAAAAGAAAGAAGAAAAAACAAAAGTTGAAAACGATTATAATATCTTCAAGATAATAAATAATTTCTACAATTTCATTTATTTCCAAACGAAGTTAAAAAAAAAAAAAAAGAAAACAAATAAAATAAAAGGGAATATTATACGTCATACATGGTGTGTCTTTGTGAAGGGATATACATATATTATATATATATATATATTATATATATATATATATATATATATATATATGCGTATGATTGTAATCACAGAGATAGTAATAAAGCGTAAAAATTATTTGGCTAGTTATTAGAAACATCAGAGAGACGTTAGTTGCACTTAGTCGAAGTAACTCGGCTATTAATTCTCTTTATTGTAAATCAGAAAAAAAGAGCTGGCTAACGCTTGAGCCATTCTGGGGAAAAAAAAAAAAAAGAAAAAAAAGGAAGCAACGTCGTGTTGTTACTTTTTATCATCCTTAAAACTAGCACGGAAGACTATCAAAACCGTAACAACTATCGTAAAGCGTTAGCCTCGAACCATAGAAGAGGATTACTATGTACTGTAATTACCTGCTTTAATCGGGGAAGATG